CTTCATTAAACTAGCTGGACGGAGTTACACAATCTCACCATACCTCTTCGACTTTTACTATCGTTGTTATCCTGGAAACAACTCTGACGAGAGCGGATAATGAGGATTAGTTTCTGTTACCTGAACTTTTTCATCTTGAATACGCAGATGGCAGGTACTTATTGTACGAGGATAGCCAGGCTTTACGATTTACGAGTGGTGAGATTAGAAGATATCCGTCCCGGGCGGTAAGGTCTCAACAAGTACGAAGCTAACACGAAAATTACTCACAAAAACGTCGTGTGACTGACCACCTGCCAAATTTCCTTCCCAAGTACATCTAGAAGAACCATTCCACTATGGAGGGAACCGAGAAGTGATAACCGCCCTCATACCTCGGAAGGCATTCAAGATCATTGTATTAATAATCAACCTCCCTCTTCAATTCCTATTATTCCTCCTACATCTACTTTCAACACTAAGATTCCTCATTTGGTTTCCTCCTCAAGTATCGCCATAGCCAACAATTCTAGTGAGCAAAACACAGTCCCAGGTCTAATGAAACCTCGCTTCAAAATATACATTGGAGCGTTCAAGGTACGCACCCTATGTCAAATCGATCGGCAGGCCTCCTTGGCTAAAACCCTAGAATTTTGTACCATTGATGTATGCTGTGTCTCCGCAACACGCACACAGGATCCTAGTGTGCTCATTCACTTGACCTCATCTCACCAAAACGGAGAGCCGACGAGACACCCTCCGTGTATCTGGTGACACAATGGATAGTTCTCGTGGACTGAAAGGTGTAGGCATAGCATTAAGTACAAGGGCATGACAAGCACTGTTAGAGTAGATCGTTTTTAACAGTCGTTTATGTGCTGGTCGGCTTGACGGCTCCATAAGAACTCGAAAGAACAGGGACACATGTCGTTGCCTTTTTATCGTTTCTGTCTACGTTCCCACTGACTGCAGCTCGGATGAAGTTAAAGATGACTTTTACAGAAAGTTTTCTGAACTTCTTCAGAAAGCTGAACGTTCGGACATAGCACTTGTAGCAAATGACTAATTCCCAGGTAGGTAGCTTAAGCCAAACAGAAAGACATTTGGGTGGGTATTTTAGTATACCGGCACAACAAACAGATAATGGTGATCGACTGCTGTAACTGTACTTAGACAATCGTTTATTTTTAGCAAACATTAAGCATAAGGAGAAACATCGACTAACACGGCGACCTTCTGCACCAAACCAACGATCTTCTCAAATAGACCATATTGCCATCAGTCATCGTTGGAGAGGGTCGATAAAAGATTGTTGCTCATTTTGCGCGGACTCCGACCATGCACAAATACGGACACACATCTACTTGAGCCTCACTGGGAAAGCGACACCAAAAAGACCCATCAGAATTGAATTGAGTAGTGAGAAAACCAAAAGTAGGTTCCGGTAACAACTGAGGTCACACTTAGATAGTCCTGAAAACGAGGCTGACCCAGATGTTGCTTGGGAAGACATACAAACAGCTGTGGAAACAGCAGTGACATCTATTAGTGGATTAAAGCAATGGATCTCTTTTAAGTATGTGGTACTGATGGATTCTCGTAAACTCGTCTCATCAGGCTCTGAATGCAATGAAAAGCGAAATCGAATCAGATATAAATTAACCAAAGTCTTAGGAATGACCGTGAGCAGTGATGGGCATCTAAAGCAAGAGATAGAAAAGGCGGCAGCTGAAGGTAACAAAAGACAGAGCTTCAGACTAATAAAAGAAACTGGAACTAAAAATTCAAGTGTGAGACTATTTCGGAAAAAGAGACACTTATCTGCTCTCAACCTAGACGTTTAGAATGATGGGCGGAACACTTTAAGGAGCAGTTCGGCTAGCATTTATCTACTCTATGACTACCCACCATTCCCAAACAACCTGAATGGAACATTGAAGTGGTTCCAACGACTTTAATTGATGTTCACAAAGCTATAGCTCATCTGAAACGAGGGAGAGCAGCTGGATGGTGGTCCAGTTTTAGAGATTAGGTTGAATAATACTTTAGCTAAAATCTGGGAACTATATACGATCCCATCTGACTGCTCTCAATCATTGGTTGTCCCAATATAGAAGGATTAAAATCATCCTGTGATAACCATAAAGGGATTAGTCTAAATAATATAGCATCTAAAATACTAGCCTCAATAATTATTTGGCGCCTAACAAAGACTTATGAATTGCAAACACGAGAAAATCAGACTGACTTCAGACCAGGTCACGGTTACACCGACCACATATACACCATTCGTCAGATCTTAGAACACAGGCATACTTATCTGCGTCCGACGGTGATATTTTCTCGACTTAAAATCAGCATTAAATCGAGAGGTTCTGCGGCAATGTCTGTCATTGAAGTGTACCTCATAAGTGCATAAACCTTGTGAAGGCCCTTCACTCGAACATTACCACTCGAATCAGAGCTTACGGCGAACTGTCATCTGATTTTGCAACCTTAAGCGATGTCCGACAAGGATAACCACTATCTTCATTTTCGTTGTTTGATTATAGACCCACTACTGGAAAAAACGTGGCACCAGTGCTTGAAGACACTAAATTCTGGTCTGAACGCAGTTGATAGGTGCATACTACTTGGTTGGCGTCAGCGCGACTATCGTAACCGATGGTTGGAGACTCTTGGTGACATGGCTCAGCATCGATCATAATGGCATAGCGAGATCAAACTTATTTTATGCCTTTCTTTCTATGAACTAATTCCCTGTATCATATGAAATGTTATTTTATTGCCATTGAAGTAACTACTTCTATGAATTCGGTGTTCATCATGTTGTGCTAACGAGGTGTGGCAACTTGGACCGATGCATTTATGTGCCTGGCCCTACATTGTAGCTGACTGATATATGCTATGCACCTCCCAAGTGCAAACCACTTACAAGGACTGCCAGAAATCTGCTGAGTGAGCAGATAGAAACTTTGTGTATTGGGCAACTGTGTAAGAGCTGGTGGTGATGTAACCGATAGGATTAACTTAGGATTAATGAACGCTAGAACAGCCTATGCCAGCATGGACTTTCTTCGACATTGTTGCCGTTAGTCTGGCTGCACAAGATCAGGTATACAACGCGTCGGTAAGGGGCAATCGCGCTTTGCTTATGGAACCTGACTTAGGCAGATTAAATCCGGCTACTCTGCGTCGCGGACGTGAAGTACGAAGGTTGTACTCCCGATTGATTAGGGATAATGCAGCGCATTAACCTTGAACGTCATCAGATACGACCAAGAATACCAGCCAGTAGCGGTCCTATTGTGATGTTCTACATAACGAAAAGGGAGATGAAGATATTTAAATGAAATATTTTCCGAAATTGAACTATTTTTTCAATAAAATAATACTATCGTCTTTAATTATACACACCATCTTTTCCTCACTATCTATAACCTCATTTTCTTTTTGTTCATCTTATACTTATTTTGGTGCATTTTACCAATGTGTGTTGAAATACCGGACACGAAAAGACGGTTTAGCAACGCAGAAATTCTGGTCGGAAGGATGCAAATAATTTGTCTGACTAGGAATAGACCGCCTAAATATAGCGAAGAACGACAATATATAGAGACGAACAAATGAATCATGTACTACATCCACCTTGACTGATTTCACAGAATACTATCATACAACGAGAGAACTGCTACATATATCAAGGTAACGTACGTTTGAGGAATTTCTGGTGTATAGTTGGTCATTCGATTTAGTCCTTCAGTGTTTAACTGCTTCTAAGCTTACCATCTAGTAATACTGATGACAATAGCATCGTTTATAAGATCATCAGGAGAAATATGTGAGTACTGACCTTAATGCAAATAAGCTTAACAATCAGTTTCAAACACGAGTACAACTCTGATATTCGACTAATAAGCAAACTCTCCTCACCAACATCAAAATAACTGTCTGGTATATTTGATTAGGTTCCGCCGAACTCTTGACAATAAGTTTGCCACTACTCATTTAACAGCATTCGTCTATAATTCAAACCTCATCACTCTCGAGACAATCGAAATATCCGGTACGAGTAGAAAATGTAAAGCATCGAACTGCCTATCAAAAAGGATGTTCGGTGATTAGTAACTTTATCCGCAACGAAATGTGATCAGGTAATAAATTCATGCTTATGCCATGTAAGCTAGCAATGGATGCTTAGAATTAATAGACGATTAGCGAAAACTGGCACGTTTGCTAATCATATCTAAAAATTGGTTGGAGTTCACACATAAAACAAGACATTTGTGCAGTGAAATTTTAACCTAACAATGTTGTTTATTTGGAATGCAACATTCAGTGATTCCTCTGGATTGAAATATCCATGGAGATCAAACATGATCAAGCGCTTTACAATAAATAAGGCCTTGTCACAACGAATATGCCGGACACATTGGTTTTTTGGAACGATAGCATTTAGCAAGCGTAGACAATGATTTGGCTTCCAAACGCCCTGGTGCGTCCGAGAGTGGGAAAAGTCCACTCTCCCTCTCCAAATGCTCTTACATAGCCTCTGCCAGGAAAGTCCTACTTAATACCTTCTCGTGGCGGGTGTTCTTTATGAAATTGAGAGGACAAAAAGCGAACGTCCGACGCTTTAACTGGGGTTGTTGGACACGGATATTCCACCTAGAGGAGTTGGAAAACCCTGATTACAAACCAATGATGCGTATGAACGCCAGTATCCTGGAGGAACAAATTGCATATGAACCAATCGTTGGTCACCGGCTACTATGGGACTGCATCTCTTTACGATGCTCCACCGCCTTGTGTACTACACCTTTAAGTCTAAGACTCCGGGTGTGTCCTTCTAAAAAAACCACCTGCTTCGGTTTGAACACCCGAGCAGTATCACAGCCCTCACACATATCAAATGAGATCTGTGACTTTAATATAACAGACAAGTTGGTACCTACATTCACACATCTAAATTGGGATCTCTAAGCACTAAAGTTCGAACAGAGGGAAAATAAAGTAAAAGTACGGCCTTTACCTGTTTTCTTTGTACTCAATTACGCAAAGCCAGAAATTCACACCGTTCGACATCGGTAACAAGATATAAAACCAAGGTAAACACATTTCATAATTTAAAGGTACATTTTTTATACAAAGTGCGTTTGAGTTAGGAGGGTAGTCAATATGTTTTTAATTAATGGTAATTGGATTTTTGAAGGATATTGAAAAATCTACACACAAGAAAACACCTTACAAGTAGGCAAAACACATGGAAAACAACCACGCAATAGAATAATTGGAAGAACCGAAAACCCAACACTAAATTACAGCACACAAAGTTTTATGGCCGAAGTTTACAATTAGGAAAGAATATTCACAGTAAATCACGCTATTTAGAAGCCCGGATTTAATATTGTGCAAAAAATGATAACTATCAGAAGAGGGATATAAACAATTGAAACAGGACAATTTAAATACAAAAAATAAAGGGTCTATATATGTGTGTGTATCTTCTACTGGCATTTTATACATTAGTAGAAGTGGCTGTCATTTAATCGCACAGCAAATAAGATAGACAATACAGGTGAAAGCATAGTTAAAACGTGCTCAAGGATTTATCTTGTTCACAGTAATTAAGGACGAAGTTATTAAAATTGATCAAGGCAATCACAAATTATCAATAACCGATAGAAATACATGAGCATTTCAAGAAAAAATCAACAAAACTAATAGAATGTACTATAATTATGACTTCCACTGCGGCAGTATTAGTGTTAAAAAGTTGTGTACAAAGAGAACAAGGGAAGTATAAGAAGATTAAAATTGACATGTTCATGATAAGGTTGGAAACAAAAGCTATTCATAAATTTTTATTTGGTTTCTATTACAACAACACGCTTACGTTGCATGTCTCAGTTAACATCTAATATTGTACAGCATTATGTTAATTACGGTGTGAATTGAGTCAGTGATTATGTTTATATTCAGTTCAACTGATAAGATAACTTATAATTGCTTTAAATTATTTTAATCACTTCAACAATAACTAGGCATTGTCTTATGCGAGCAATTTAGATAAAAATCTGCTCTTATAAAAAAATTATCAAAAGATAAAATAAACACTATAAGTTCCTTAGTTCAGGGATACCGGAGAGAATTTTGGCTACAGAACCATCATTATCACTTTTTTTCCATTGTGATAAAGCGTCTGCCGATATCACTTTCTTTTCAACGAGCGAAGTAAGCCATGACCCGACAAGAACTACAAAATACAATAAAAACAAAATTAAATTCACGATGTACATATGTACGTCAAGAAGACTGAACGTCAACTTCTGTGAAAGCGACATTTCGGAATGCAACCTCAGGATGCATATAAAAATCATTAGACAATATGCAATTATACTAATGACCTATGATTCTAATTCTAAGTGTCACTAGAGGTGAATATTAAAGTGACTAATATATTTCAAAAAGTTAGTGGTGCAGTAATGATACAACACTGAAAGAATAAAATTTAATTTACCTTGATTTGATGACGGATCTTGAAAACCACTTAAAATATGAAGCTCTCTATCAGGCTTGTGGTCAACCAAAATACCGAGGGACATCACAAACGAATCTATTTTCGTTTTTGATTGATCTGGACAAGTAAAAAATAATGACCATAAATACACATAAAATAAACTAACACATAAAAAGACTGATTAAAAGCTGATTACAAGTATATTGCGTGCACCATCCGAAATCACATACAAATACACACAAGAACGAGTTATCTTTTAAAAAATGAAGATTGTTTGCAGAGAGCTAATTTCTAAATTCCCTAGAATTGCAAACACTCTGAAATATTCAAAAATGAATCTATTTTGACGAAGTATTTACATGGACAATCCTGAGGTCAACTATAGTACATTTAGATTCAACAAGCTTAATCTAACATATAGAGCTTTTTTGTTTCAATAGGATGCTATAAACCCGCATCTAAACCGCAACAGGAAAATTCAGTATAATGTTTTAAAATCAACCAATGACAATGAAAACTGACAAACCTGGAGATTTTAGCAAAATTGGGATGATCGATTGCATAAACCATTTAGACAAGTTATATTGAGATAACGTATTAAAATAACTGGAAATTTTATCAGGAGACGATGGGTTCGTAGTTAGTTCATTAAGCTCATTGAGTTTTCCAGATTCGAAACTATGAACTCCAATTATGGTGAACTCTATGGACCGCTGATAAGCAAAGTCCCATGTTTTGCTTCCTGTAACACCAAGTTTGTCCCACATAAAGCCACAGGCCTGAAGTTTTTTTACAAGTTGCTCAACACTTGTAGATGCTTTGCTTAGTTTAATACAGTCTGCCACCAATTCAGCAGCCCGGTCATCAGACCGGATAGACTCAACTGACCGCAGAAGAGTAGTCATATAATCAGATTCGCCACGTATAAGATGATGAAGGATTTCTGCAACGTAGAGCCAACCCTGTGGATAATCTGAAATCCAATCACTATCGCATAATTTGAAGAAGTTTTCACATCTGAAAAATTTACATTTAAATGTGAGATTATAAATGATAATAAATTGCATAACTTACATAAAGCAGGATGGATATGATGATCGCCCTTAATTAACTGCTCATAATAGGCTAACACTACAGAACTGCATATTATTGGTTAGTCATGATAGGAAAAGACGTTTCCCAAGACAATTAAAACTATTGATAGATAGTAAGTAGCTTCAGTTGTAACAGTTCGAGATAGAAAATCAATGGTAATTTAAAGAAACAAAATAAAAAGTTGCTTGTATGATGCAGTTTTGACAAATGAACGTGCATTGACGCAGATGTTGTTATGAGATATGTATACATGATATTTGCATATAAAATTGAAGCATTCCACAGAAAACTTCTATTACGTACTTTGCACGTGTTTAATCATATATATAAGTTTCCTCACTCAATTTAATATGAACGTTACATTTAAAAGCACAAAACAGCTGTTATAAGGTAGCCCTTCGTGTGGCACACGCTCATGAGTTCGATTTCAATAGCAATATACAAACTTACGATGTAATAATATTATTTTCTGTAAGGATTCCTTTATGAAGCATATCCACACAAAAGCGACCAACTTCATTTCGCTTTTTTGAGTTGCAGTCCATTAGAATCTCAAATACATTGTGGAGTAAAGCTGAACGTTTTTCAGGCTCACACTTGACAATAGAACAATGCTTAAAGAGGAAAAAATCAAGCAATTTGAAGTCTTTAGAAAGTTTGGCTAAAGGAAGAAGTTTAGGTTTAATGAAACTAGATGAAAAAGGTGCTCTTCGGATTTTTATCAGTTGACATGGGAAACGATTACTCGCTGAGTCGGTACAGCCGCGCATGCGGAATATTGTTTGGTATCAAGTGCTACAAATTTAATATACACAAGCAGAACTGTCGTAGATTTTGTACTCTGAATCACTTCTTGTATACTTACGATACAGACAGGCATATGGACTACTACGATTTGAATTTTATGTCGAAAAATGTAAGGGAGACTATGCAATGCCTTATGGAAATGTGTGTAAAAAATATATTTCGAATGCTTAGACAGTATAATTACGATACCCTTCTTTCAAATGCAAAATGTTGGTTCACGATTGACCTGACTGACTGCCTGGATTAATGACGAAATGGCTGAACGCATCCACCGCTTAAATTATACTGGGAATCTACTTTAACCAGATGGGCTGGTGTTTTACGGAATCCTAGCATGGATCTAGAAAGTTCGAATGGCCTTTGCCAACTTGCATCTTTATCTATATTATTTGAACACATAAGGATTGGTACAAAGGGGCACCGAATACATCTGGGTCACACAAGTTACTTGATTTGTGGTGGACTGCTCGGGTACCTGGACCGAAGTAGGTAGTTTTCTCGGTGTAAAACACCCAGAGCCTTAGACTTCAAGGCCTAGTACACAAGGCAGTGGAGCATCGTAAGGAGATGCAGTCCCATGGTAGCCGGTGACCAACGATTGGTTCATATGCAATTGTTCCTTTAGAATACTGGCGTTCATATGCACCATTGGTTTGTAATCAGGATTTTCCAACCCCCTTAGGCAGATCCTCCGTGTCAATCAACCTAGTCAAAGCGTCGGACACTCGCTTTTCATCCTTAGGCTGATTTAAGTTTTTGAAATGCAACCGAACGGTTAAGCGCCAGTGTCAGATAGGGATAAATTAACACAAAACATTTAATAGTTAGATTTAGACGTACACAGTCATCACTCGACATTGAAACCGTATCCACTATTGAACGAGCAGGACCCTTCGTTTCCTCAAGCATTGACTCATAGTCATTTTCTTTTACTTTTTGTCCTAACGGCAGAGGACGAGCCCACGCACCCTGGGGTCCCACAGGGACACGTGGGGATGATTCACGAGAATGTACTGACTGTTGATTGCGTTTTGAATGGCTTGAGAGAAGTCAGAGAAAGGATAAATGTTGATAATGGTGAATAATAAGTATCTAGAAAATTAATGCACAAGCTAATAGTCGATTTTTCATTATGGGAACTCGAGAAGCTATTAGAATGTATTAACTATACCAGCTTAGCGTTTACAAAAACGCATCCTTGTTAAATTACTGTTAATTGTTACTCGAAAAGTTAGTGACGATACTCTGAGATTGGACCATAAATACTAACTAAATTCTTTGTACGACCATGAATTATAAGATGAATATATACTTTCTACTACCTCGTAGAAGCTTATCCTACTTAAAAACAACTAAAGTTTAGTTTTATTCTCTTGAAAGTCATTTATGTGCTAATATAATCTTTTCCAAGTAATTTGACTGCAAATCAAAAATCCAGTCATACATACTAGAAGGCTTAATATGATGAAATTTGCCTGAAATTTGGATATTTTTGAGAGACTAGATGACGTTAAACTATACTATTAATAACCCTTTTCATATGACAATAGTGTACTTATTAATTTATTTGAACACATAAATATTGGTACGAAAGGGCACCAAATATATATGCACTACACATGACAATAGTGTGCATTGAAGTGTATAATTTCATTAGGAGTAAGCACGATAAATTAAATTAAATTACATGAAGCCTCTTGTTGCTCATGTAAAACATAAATAATCACATGAACAGAAACCAAGTTGTTTCTTGTAATATGCCGAATTTACTTTAGGAACTTACTTATCTTCAGAAGGCCGTAGTAAACCACTACCTTGACTCCAATTAGCCACAGTTGGACCAAGTTTTCGGGAATCGTAGGATTGTGGAGTAACAGCTAAACTGGAAGGCGTTAAGGGATTCACTGACTGGACAGATTTACGTTCTAAAAATTTGACTTAGATTAAAGGAAGCTTACTTGTATCTAACTGAATGAAGTTCCGCTTTAGTTTATCATCTATATTTCGTCTAGAAGTATCTATTTGTGGTTGAGGTTGGGTAATATTAGCAGATTTCCAATCACGCGAACGTAATTCCACTAACTCGTGTACTTTGAAAATTTGATGCGTCTCAATGTTTTTCGAATCTTTTACCTGTTCGAGTCGCTTGAAGCACTGATCCAAAACAGACTTAGAATTTTTTTCAAGATTACTGCCACATATATTCAGAAGAATTATGAGAGAGGTTAAAGCTTCAGGAGCTGAAGAATCTTTCAATTTTTTCAGACATTCAGTCATAGTTTTGATTGGAATACATCCAACAAGATAGAGTTCAGCAATGAACGTCATATTTCCATAGTAAGAATCAGTTGTCTTCTGAATGTTTGTTTCTCGGTCATCTTCAAGCATCCGTTTTATTGATTCATCCTTGGCTGCTGCAATTTTAGCATCAATGGTGGCATTTAATTCACTTATCAGAACCTGAAAGATGATCAAACATTATTTGAACATACATCTAATGGTTTGTTGAACAGCTCTTGTGTTTGTTGTAGAATTAACACTGGAAAGCGTTCTGAACCTTGTACTTCCAACTAAAAGGTATTACGCAACTTTTTAAACATACCCCTTTTAAATTTTTACATAAACTCGCGAAAACTTTACAGTATTTTGACTGCCTGATAACCTGGAAAGCAATAAATTTATGCAGCGTGAAAATTTAGGAGAAAAGTGAGGGAATCAAAACATACAACTGTATTGTTTTTACAAAAACTCATCCCTGTAAGTATGGGTAGAAAAGACTAACCAGATTAGTGCTTACCATCTACTAACAGTAAGGGTAATAGCTGGAGCACTAATTTAAACTTTCATCTGATTCGTATCAACACATAATCATTTTAAGGATAGTGCTGTAGCACCTACTTTGACTAAAACTTGAATTTAGGTAAGCATATTAGCATCAGTAAACATAAAAAACCAGATTGGGATTTGGTTTCTGGTGCATTGAAAACAGTTTTAGTTTTGAAACATATAGACATTCAGTATTTTTTAAATGTAATAGACAAACTTTGGCAACGTTTACTATACAATACTGGCATGTTAAATGGCTAAACCACAATTGTATAACCTATACTGCGAACGACTACTGTTATATAACAATAGTGAGTTCATTTGTTAGCTGTGTTGCTCGAGATCCGTCAGAACTCAAGATACATTCATGATAACTAGCTATATATAAATATCATAATCGTCAATCAATGAGTCCCAGTGTAAAATCCATTTAACGCATATGAACAGGATTTATACTGTAAATTCACCTAACGAAAATCCAACTTGATCAATTTTTTTCCTAAAATATTTGGGGACACCACGAATAGTGAAGAAATGCTTAACAAGGAATGCACTAGCACCCTGTGAGTGGACTATTCACTTTCTGGTCTGATACGCTGAAAAATCAAAAATATAGTTGCTGATAGCCGCTGACAAATGACGTAGTACTCTTATCTAACTTATTCGGCCCATTTTTAAGTGCCCTTACGATTATCCTTTGTCAGTACATATACTAAAATACTCTATGCACACAAGTTGGTGCAGATAAACGGAGCACACCTTAATGAACGGAAATTAAGTGCACAAAGAACCCTTTTGGGTTAGTTACTAGAACTTACGGACAGGAATGGCATTCAGAACTTTTCGTATATGGTGTGCTTAGTTCTAAGCAAAGGTTATGTGAAAACCATCACTTATCACATTATTTCACGCTTATTGAAATCTGTATTGTTAGTTTCTAAATACAACACAGAGCAATCCGGTGCATGATAGGGAAGCACCGAGTCTTGTACATAAACAATAGTACTTGTGCTTTTTTCCCATGTAATTAACCACACTAATGAACTAATCATCTAGTACGAGCACTTGGACTTACTTTTTGGAAAATTGTTCTTGCCAAAAGACTGAGATCTTCGGGTGTTGTGATGTTAAGCTTCTCAATATCACTGATAGTTACTTCTAAATTGCTGGCCGAAACACGGTTTAAAATCATATTTAGCTCTCGAGCGACATCCTTTGAGCTATCTGTTACACTGTTGGCTCCGTGATTAACAAGTTTTGACGGGACGAAAGCACCTTCAACACGTTTGATAGTAATAGTTGTGGGTATTTGAATAACTCTGCCTTTGTGCATATAATTAGATTGATTACGAGTCTAACAGATAGAATGAACTTAAAGAGCACTTACCCTTTTGATATTTGCAAAGCTATTCATGATATCCTATGTTTATTACATCAAAATTAGAAAAGTGATTTCTTACCCTATAGTTATCTAACGACAATACAACGCCTGAAGCTTTACAAGAAAGAATGAAGTCACGTGGATATCTTTGTCTGTCCATCGTCTCCTCTTTTGCCTCCTCTTCTTTTGCACCCTCCCACTCAGTTTCGTCTTCTTGTGACAAATGTTCATCTAGTGATTTAACATGCTCAAGGACCTCATTACACAAGTCGTCTGAGCCCACACTTTCTTTAGGCGGGGCATCTTCTTGTGACACTGTCTCTACGCTTGATATACCCTCATCCTTGTACTCAGTGCAAACAGGTTTTTCGCTTTCTTCCTTTGTTTGAGATATGGGAGGCGATTCATCCGCCTTAGGTTGTACAATTAATGGTTCTTTCTTGCGTGATTCAGAAGGGATTCTTGATGCTTCTTCTAGATTGACTTCTGAATTTGTTTTAGGATCAATCACACTTAATGGTTTCTTTTCACGGACTGGCTTTGGTAGCGCAGCATTAAGCGGCTGGTTTCCGCTTGCCTGGTTGGGATTTGTTTGAATGGCAGGAATAATAGGGTTGTAAAAAGTATGTTGGTACTGAGCACAGTCAGTGTGCGCAGCGACACCCATGTGGTCGTGCGGCTGAACGTCGGAGACAGACATGCAAAGAAATGGAGCTTGTGTCATACCACCGCAAAAAAACCGAGGGAGATGATCCGGATGGCGGATAGAATAGTACGGGTTGGGGGCAGGTACGCCTACACTTTCTAGAGGAAAGTTATTAAGTCAGTGGGCTTACCTAAGCGTGCACCTGTTTGAGGCTGTAAAAACAAGAGGTATTTAAATTAGTTAGAAAAATTGAAAGAAAGAAACTACTACACAACCACCTCTCTACAATCATAGGACTGGGAGAGCAGTCTTATGACATGAATATGGCGAATACATTCAAGTATAAAACCACCCCATTGACTTACATAGTAAGACATAGCCTAAAAGTATGAGTGTTAAGAAGCATATGTCGACTTACCATGTGCTGAGCGTCGGTTGACCTGTTATTACTAGGAATGTGAAATTAATTATAAGCAGTAATATGGACATACATATTCAAGTTAAATATACCTGGATACGGCAGAGATGTCTGATCACTCATGAGACCACACTTGCCAACATGCGCAATAATGTCAATAAGTGTGCCAACCCTTACCACTGAACTCCACAGACGTGGACTTAAGTACGGTAAAACAAATACAACACCTTAAAATCTAGTGAATTTCGCATTTGTAAATATACATAATACCGCTAAGAATAAGCCTAAAGGTTGATATTTCTCATAATTTTGAGGACCAACTTCAGTCCCATACATGACTGAATTTCAGTTTTCACCTGTCTTCAGTTTTCAGTAATAAATATAGCAGGCCTTGTGACTTGTACCAAAGCTTTAAGCTTCTTTTCAGGTGTAAATACGGCCTCTCTTCAAAACTACTTACCGATGGGGCTGATAATTTTTTCGGTATAGCTTTCTAGTCATTGACGACGAAAAGGGAATATCACTGTGTTTGTTCAATCACTGTTCCTTAACCTTCTTTCAGTGGTCTCACGGGCTACTACTCCCGATGAAACGAAACTTAAAAGACATTTTAACACTCAACTCACTATTTAAGACACAGAATCCCAATATAAGACCAACTTCCTTCCTACGAACGATGGGAAATGTTTGGACGATCCGACCACTTGTCGTAGAAGATTTCGGAAATGCCAGCCACTAATTCGGTTTTCATACGTCAAACGCTCTCAAGCATCTCGGCATTCTAATAAGACATGGGCTTGACGCTCGGATGAAATATTTTAGGTGGCCTCACTTAGGTGGTATATAAAACCGTAAACATCTTCGTCAGAACATTTTAAGGCCCTTCGATGTGCCCATATAGCTCAAGCATGCTTAATACCACTTACATTACCATGCACAACATTTTTCAAGTTGTGACATACAATCAATACCATGTCATTTAGCTTTCAAATTTATGGAAACGGTGTCCCATTGCTGATATACTGGTAAATATATGAATAAGGCATTGTTATAAGATCATATGTAGGCTACATACTATTCACACTAAGCTTCAAAGGTTGGTGAATCAATGACAGTCTACGATTTTGTAAATGAATAATAATTTAAGAGCGAGCCGAAGAATATTTATGTATAGGTGACATTTGTAAATAGCGATTCCTAATACAGTGGATGTGTTTTGCTTCGCTCCAAAAAGGAATCGGTAACAAACGAAATATTATGTTCTGGAGTACAGTAGAACGTAGTTAAATAAGTGGCTGTTGCGCGATTTCGCCAATTCATCAACACAAAATTGTTATCAACTATGTCGAATCTATGAAGTTGGCCAGGATATGATTATGACAAGAAGACTCGTCTGTATATATATTATTATAAATCAGTTATCGTGCTTGGTAAGTGTACGGTTAGGTTCATTTGACGTGATGTCAGTATCAAATGTCTTGTAAGTATGCAGTGAGATCAAACTATTATCTCAATTTTTCAATTTAGTTTCATAATGGCAATCCAAACGTTTTTAATATTTGAAATATGAAAGAGCCAAGTTCGCTAATTCATTATTGTTTACAATATGCCATGCAGCTTATTGTAAAGTAGCTTAATCAACTAAACAGTGATATGTGCACTACTTCATATTTCTTCACTAATCACGTCAGTTTCGTTTTTCAAATGTTTTTTTATTATTTGTTAAACATTTTTATCACTATTGATTGCATTGTTCAAAATGGTTCAAATGGTTGTGGACGGAATAGAAGAAGCTTTCGCTTAACAGGCTTCCGTGTCTAGTAGCAGGGGATCACCAAATCCTCCAGGCAGGAACCTGGGTATGTTAACAATAAAAGAGGAAAAGAAATTGGCAAATCATAGTGTGATACTGTCCTTGGTCCTTAAGAATAGGTCAAGTTGCCTCTTGAAGGACTCCTGAGAAGTCGCTTGGACTAGCTCGGCCGGCAGCGAATTCCAGCTTTTGACAACTCTTAAGGAGTAGAAGTTGTGTTTACATCCCGTCTTGCTATGTTGAGTTTCCAGTTTCTGGGTGTTACCCCTTAGGTTATTATTCGAACTAAGCTTAAGTAGGTGTTTAAGAGGATGTCCAGAAGTGTTAAGAATACTATAAGTCATTAAAAAATCACCTCTAAGACGCCTATACTCTAATGGGTAAAGGTCTAGTGAATGGAGGCGTTCTTCGTAAGGCTTAGATTTGAGTCCTTAAACTGATTTCGTGGCTCGCCGTTGGATACGCTCCAAAGTGACCTTGTCCTTTTGGAGTGAGGGGGGAGTACTATGTTTCCGTACTCTTAATGGGGACGGATAAAACTATTGAAGATTGTATGGAAAGTTCTTCCGTAAAACTGGCCAAAAATGCGCTTCAATGTTACCAGTGCAAGGTTTGCTCGGAAGGCATTTTTGTCACAATTAGCGTAAGACCTTAAATCATGGGGCACAAGGACTCCTAAATCTTTTTCGACTTGGGATACTACTAGAGAGGAGTTTCCTAAGTTGTAACTGTAGTTTGCGACATGTCGCAGATGAACTACTTTACACTTTGAAGTGTTAAAGGTAAGTCCGTTATCGTCTGCCCAACTTTGAAGTCGAGTCAGATCCTCCTGAAGTGCCTGTGTATCGTCTTGGTTGCGTATCTCTCTCCAAAGTTTCACGTCGTCGTCAAAAAGTAATATGTCTGACGTTACCTGTTGAGGAAGATAGTTTATGTAGATCAAGAAGAGAAGAGGCCCTAATACTGAGCCCTGGGGATCCCCACTAGGACATTCCATAGCCTGAGATAAAGTGAAATTAACCCTAACCTTAAAGTGTCGATTTTCTAGGTATGAAGTAAGCCAATCGATTAGAGGTGGTTTGATACCTAGTCGTTTGAGTTTGTTGATAAGACACAAGTGGTTAACTTTATCAAAAGCTTTTGAGAAATCAAAGTAAATGATATCAACCTTTCCCTTGCGATAGAGGATGCTTGTCCATCTGTCCACCGCAGTCAGCAGGTTGGTTATACAAGATTAACCCTTCCTGAAACCATGTTGTTGGGGTGAGAAGAAATTTAAGGACAGTAGATAGTCGTTTAAACCATCGCATATCAGGGACTCCATGAGTTTTGAAGGTAATGACAAAAGAGCCACCGGCCGATAACTTGAAGGTTCATTGCGTCGACCCCCTTTGAAAATTGGTGTGATGTGAGCCAACTTCCAATTTTCCGGTAGTTTGCCTCGGCTTAGCGAGTGTGAAAACATCACGCTAAGCGGCGTTGTCAGGATTGAGGCTGCCTCCCTCAGTATGGCAGAATGAACCATATCCGGGCCAGGAGAAGTATCTAGTCTTAAGTGCTGCGGTTTCCGGAACACCAAGTCAGCGCTTAGGTCCACTTCGGAAAGCCCTGTGGAATCGCAGATGAAACTGTCGTCAATAAAGTTGATGTCAGCCAGCTGAAATGTTTGAGAGTAATGTGCCGCCATAAGGTTAGCGGCGTCACCATCGTTGTTGGTCGGGCCGTTAAGACCTAGCAGTTGAGAAACTCCTGTTTTGGCTTGACGAAGAGAGGCTGCATAACGGAATAAGCTTCTAGGGTTAGAGGAAAATTTGTCCATAAGCTTTGTCTGATAATGAAGCTTGTCTTCTCTTATAGCCTTCGTGCATATGTTCCTGATATGTTTATATTGCCTATACGCTCCGTCGTTATTAGTTCGTTTGTATTCCACCCAACAATGCTTTTTACGGCTTAGCAGGCGAAGGGTACGGTTCTTGATTACTGTAGGTGGCTTACAGCTTTTGGGAACCGTTTGAGGAACTGAATGGTTTGTAGCAAATAAGAGCATGTGCAGTAAGAAGTCCCAATGACCGTCCACATCGAGTTGGGGGTGAACATCCCAAACCACCTGTTGTAGATAGTCATGTACAGCTGGCACATTCAGCCGTTTAAAATTCCAACACAAATTATTGTTGGGATACCTTAGATTAGTTTTGATGTCAAAACTGAAAGCTATGACGGCATGATCGCTCTTTCCCAGGGGAGTCAGGATTGAGAGGTTGTCAACTAGGAATTCTTCGTTTGTGAATACACAGTCTAAGAGCGATAGTGTCTGACTGTTTCTCCAACGAGTTGCCGACCTCACATTTTCATATAAGCCCAAGTTATCGATGAGGTTGAAGAACCGAGCTTCAATTGAATTGTCGCCTCCGGTGTACGTGTGTTCCACGAAGTTGACTCTAGGGAGATTAAAGTCCCGTAGAATCAGGATGTGTGTGAAACCAAGACGGGTAGAGCGGGATAGTCCTTCCAGCATACGACTATCGTACTCGGTGTCGGCAGTTGGCTTCCTGTAAATGACTCCTACTAGACACCTCGAATTACTAGACAATCTTACAGAGCACCATATGGATTCCTCAAGATTGTTAAACTCGAGGTTGTGAACTTGGTGCACCTCCAAGCAAGAGCTTATGTATATGGCTACTCCGCCCTCAATTCCTGTTGATCTGTCGTTGCGCAACAAAGTCATCCCAGGTAATGCTAACTCTTGGTCTGAGAACTGAGAAGATATCCAGGTTTCAGATATTCCTATCAGGTGGGCTTTTCACGGCGCGCTTTTGAAGGTTGTAACTTTTTTTCACGTGGTATTATTTTATTTTCCTATCCGTTTTTCTCTTTAATTTAACACTTGATAGCGATAAATAATTCGTCACTGATAGGGTTCTATTAACTTTACACCTTATTTAGGAACTCAACCTCATAAATTAATATTGCTAGTTTTCACGCTATCACTATCACCAATTAACTGTAATATATTTACTCTTAACTAATACTGGGTCTGATCCTACCATAAAACTTTACACGTTCACTAAGTTAAATTACAGCTATCGCCATCCACCTAATTAAACTTTGAATTAACATTACTTCCAATAATGTCCAGGCCATCTAAAAAACATATAATCTCTCCAGATGCCTATAGCACCTGCAAAAGATCTAAATCAGTCACTAAAGTGAATAATGCGAAACCTTATAAACACACTGATCAGTCTGCATCCTACTCTGATCTTCCCTCAGCCACACTAAACGTGCACCCTTTACTTGGACAAGACATATCACTACCTTGCATCTCGCTTGTCGATATAAATAAGAGCAGTCACATGCTGTTAGAG